GCCGTCGGAATGCCGAGAAGAAGCAAATCCCCAAATCCTTCAAAAACCTATGGAAAATCAATGATTTTGGCCTCTTCGGGCCCTCCTGGAGGACCTCTTGGAGGCCTCTTGTGCCGTCTTGGAGGCCTCTGGGGGGCCTCTTGGGCCGTCTTGGACTCTCTTGGGCCGTCTCGGAGGCCGTCTTGGACCATCTTGGGCGGACTTGGAGGCCATCTTGGACCATCTTGGAGGCCATCTTGGGCCAACGTGACCATCCTGGAGGCCATGTTGGGCCGTCTTGGAGGAAGAAGTGGGATTGGGCGGTGGCGTGTGCGTCTTGCGGGTCTTGGGGGGCGGCCGGCGGGACGGGCCGAAGCGCCAGGGGGAGTTCTTTTGGAAAAGAACCAAAACCGAGAGGGTCCAGCACGCCAGGCACCCCTGCGATGAATCGACAGGGGGCGGCGGATCTAGCGGCCTTCGGCCCATTCCACCACCGTGCCTGCGTTGTGGTTCAGGGGCCTTTTGGATGTTCGCTGAGATCTCGTGAGGAGCCTCACGGGGGCCTGCCCGAGGCAGTTTGGATGCCTCTGGGGGGCTGTTTAGGGGCCTCCGGGGGCCTCCTTTGGGCATCTTGGGGGTCTTTCGGGGGCCTCTTGTTGGATCCCCTTGGGGGCCTCCCGGCGCCTCTTCGGGCGGAAAGTTAGAATTTTCGGTTCGTGGTCCCATTCTTGGGCCCCTCTTGGGGCCCTTTTGGGGTGTCTTCGGGCCTTCTTGGGGGCTTCTTGGGGCGGTCTTGGGGGCCTCTTGGACCGTCTTCGAGCGTCGGATGCCAGAAAAGGCGAGAAAGACAAAAACCTTTTTAACAAAAATAATGAAAATCAATTGTTTTTGCCCCTTGGGGGGCCTCTTGGAAGCCTCTTGGGGCGTCTTGGAGGCATCTTGGGCCGTCTGGAAGCCATCTTGGGCGTCTTGGGACGATGTTTCCGAGACTCGGGGCCTTCTTGGACCGTCTTGGAGGTCTCTTGGGGCCCTCGTGGCCCGTTTTGAGGCCCTCGGTGCCCCCCAGGCAGAATTTCTGCAGAAACGTACCCCCCCCAGCCGGCCCAGATGGACCCACCCACCCCGGACGACCCGGATGGACCCCCCCCCCAAATCGACCGGAACGGGCTCCCGGGGGAGGGGTTTGGGGAGGGGGAAGCATCTCACACGCCGATGAACCCCAAGGGGTCGGCAGATTTGGGCGTTCTTACCGCTGCGGGCTTCCAGCGCTCCTCGACGGCCAAATAGGCGCCCAAGACCGCCCCAAAACGGCCCAAGAGGGGACCAAGAACACCCCAATACAGCGTCAGAGACCTCTCGTGAGCACCGAGGTGACTCGAGAGGACCCCAGGACGGCTCAAGAGGCCTTCCAGGACGGTCCAAGAGGGGCCCCAGAGCGGCCCAAGAGGGTCCCAAGAGGGGGAACACGAACCTACAATTCCAGCGTTCCGCCCCCCAGGAGGCCCAAAGAGGCCCCGACGAGGCGCCTCGAGGTTCACAGGGGGAACCCCAAGAGGCCGCCAAGAGGCCAGAAAGAGGCCCCAAGAAGCCCCAAAATGGCCCCCAAGAGGCTTCACAGCCGCCCTCGACGAGGTCCCTGTGAGGCTTCCCACAGGGTACCAACGAACACCCAAGAGGCCTCTGACACGCAGCCAAGGCACCGTAGCGGGATGGTCCGAAGGCCAATCCATCAGTATGTATATATATATATATACACATATGTATGCACATACAGATATAGTTGTACATATTTATTTTCAGATATAGACATACATACATACAAGCATACATAGATCATCAGACATACCTAGTATGTATGTGTGCAGACATGTGTATATACATATTTGTGGCCGGTGCCCGCTGCGGAACCAAAGTCCCCCCCCCCGGGATGCACGAAAGCCCTGGGGGGGGCGCCTCCGCGCACCGCCTTCGCGGGCCGGTACGAAAGCCCCCAGGATGCTCGCGGGGAGCGCGTTTTCCTTCGCCCCCTCCTTCTCCTCGTCCACATGATCCTTCTCCTCCTCCTTCACCTCCTCCTCCTCCTCCTCTATCACCCCCTGCGGCCTCCCTCGCAGGAGCGGGAGCCGCCCTGGGAGCGTTTGCGAACGCCCTCGGCGCCGAGATCCGAGAACATGGTTTTTTTTCAATGCGCAGCCCCCAGAAAAGTCTCGACCCCTTCCCCAGGACCGGTTTTTTTCATCCTGAGTCGTTTTTTGACGGTCCCGAGGCTCGGCGAGGGCCCTCAGGGGCCGAAATAGTGCCAAACCTCCGTCTGGATTTTTTCAAACGTTGGATCTCTGGGTCCCCTTCTCCTCCCCTCCTCCTCCCTCTCCTCCGTCTCCCGCGGTCTCCCCCAGGGGTGCGCGGGAGCGCCCGGAGCGCTTCTCCGAGAGCCCGCGGCGCTTCGACGCGCAGGGGGTTCGTCTGTATACTTAAGTCGGGCCTGTCCCTCTAGGGGAGGAATATTTGAAAAAATGACAAAAAATAGTCTCGGGACGATGTTCTGATTATTTGTAACTTTTTGGTGCATGTTTTGATTATTTTTGTTTTTCATCCAACATCTGCCTGTAAGGGGACATGCCCGACCTAACTGTATACCTCCTCCGCCTTCTCCCCCTCCTCCTCGTCCTCCTCCCCAGACCCCCTCGGGCAATGAAAACGTCATGACGTGAGGTTTTCCAAATTTTCGGCCTCTGGGGGCCCTCACTGGGCCTCGGGGCCGTCAATATTTTCGGCCTCTGGGGGCCCTTACCGGGCCTCGGGACTGTCAAAAAACGACTCAGGATGGAAAGCGGGTCCAGGGGAATGGGTTGAGACCTTTGAGGGTCGACGTTATGCACAAAAATCATGACGTCGGGGGTCTGGGTCCCCCGCTTTCTCCCTCCCCCCAGCAGGGAGAGCCACCTCCACGCGGACGCCGCCCCCACAGACCCACCCCCACGCCCACAGCAGGACCCCCCCTCTCCCACGGGGGGGGTGGGGGACGGGTCGTCGGCGGCACCCGGTGCGCCCGGTACGAAAGCCCCGGGGAGGGGGAGGAGGTGGGCTTCTGGGCTGTCAACCGCACCCGGCGCGGCGGGTACGAAAGCCCCCAGGAGGGGGGGGCCTGTCGTGCCCCCCAGCACCGCTCACACACATATACACGATATACATATATATACATATATATACACATACATAGACATATGCACATACATCCATCCATCCATCCATCCATCCATCCATCCATACATACATACATACATACATACACGGAAGGTTCCCGCCCCGCGGCTTCGGATAATGCGGAGCCATATTCGGGCACCCCATTTTTTTTCAATTTTTTCCAGCCCCAGGCGACGCGTCGTAGAAGCCCCCCCAAACTTTTTGCCACGACTTTTGCGTAACCACATGAAATGGCTGCAGGTCCCACGACCAACCTTCAGGGAATTCCCGAGTCTACCTGGCAGGCGGGCGAGAGAAATGAACCCGCCGTTACCGAAGCCGAACCAAACGTTGCTGTCCCCCAGGCTGGCCAGCAGTTGCCCTGTGGTGTCCCGATGGTGTCCCGTGGTGTCCCGTGGTATCCGGTGGTGTTCCGTGGCGCGGGGGTGTCTCGTGCTATGCTACATGCTATGCGATCTTATGCTAGCAATAGCGAGATCGATGAAGAGATCGATAGTGAGATCGAAGGTGATATCGATCGTGATATCGATACTGAAATCGATAGTGATATTGGTTGTGGGGTCGACCGAGTGAGATCGATAGCAAGATCGATCATAAGATCGATAGTGATATCGGTAGTGATATCTATTGAGTGGGATCGATCGTGAAATCGATCGTGATATCGATCGTGAGATCGATTGATTGAGATCGACAGTGTGATCGACAATGATATCGATTTGGAGATCAAGAGTGATATCGGTAGTGAGATCGATTGAGTGACACCGATAGTGAGATCGGTAGTGACATCAACGATGGCATCGATAGTGAGACCTATGGTGAGAGCGATCGTAACATCAATCGTGAGATCGTTCGTGAGATCGATCGCGAGATCGATGGTGCAATAGTGAGATCGACAGTGAGATCGAAATTGGGATGGAGAGTGAGATCGGTAGCGAGATCGTTTGAGTGAGATGGATGGTGAGATTGATAGTGAACTCGTTAGTAAGATCGACCAGGAACGTGGGAATCTGGGAACTGGGAACTGGAACCCCAGAAACCCCGCCGCCCACCGAAATCGGCATGGAACCAGCAACTGGGAACCAGGGAACCTGGAACCAGGACCCCAGGAACCGGGAACCCGGGAACCCGGCCGCCTGCCGAGGTCGGCCGGGAATTTTCGCCCAATTTTTCAACCTCCGCCAAGAAAGGAGGACCCCTTCAGTGCAAGCGCTGATCGGGCACTGGGGGCTCGCCCAGAGCCAGCCGGGATCCTGTCTGCGACGGCCCCATGGGCCCGAAGCGGGCCTCGAGGGGCTCAGATTCGGGAAAGTCGGCCGCCTCCATGTCTGCGCGAGGCAGGATGTCCGGGCTCGACGTCCTCGAACCTCGTTCCTCCTCAAAGGAGGAAAAGGTAATTACCCATACCTCTACCCTTCGCCCGTTTTCCTCTTTTTGGGCCTCCTGGGAGGCCCTCGTCGCCACCGCTGGATTCGCCTCGAAATCCTGGTCAGAACACACCTCGGGAGAGGTCTGGGGAGTAGCGGTATCGGTACCGTTTGGTTTTCCCACCTCCTGCTAATTAGGCAAGGTCCAATGCGGTCCGATCGATCCGATTCGACATCGGTTTCGGCCTGCCCCATCCGACTCGATTCCGATGCTCCGACGACCCGATGCGTCCAGATGCCTGCATCCTGGCGCGGATGACCCGGTTCGATCCCGGCTCTGCGCCAATGCGGCCGGACTCGATGCCTGCCCTGATCCGATCTGTCGATGCCGTACTTGCCGCTCCCGCCAGGTCGCCGCCCGCGGGCGTCGGCTCCAGCGGCCTCGGGGCCAGCATGGCGGAGGCCGCCGCCTCCGCCTCCTGCGTGGCGGTGCGGCGGCTGCGCAGGGACCTGGAGAGCCTGCAGAGGTCCCGGAACCCACAGCTGGCGGCGACCGGGGGGGGAGGCGTGGAGGGGAGGAAGGGCGCGGTGGGCCCCTGTCGTCTGGGCAGGGCGGGCTGTCCGCGCGATGCAAGGGCGACCCGAGCCCGTCCTCGTCTCAGCGGCCCGCGAGGGCTGGGGGGCACGCGTCCTTCCACTCCTCGTCCGTGTCGCGCCCCTGGCTATGTCGGTAGGGCGGGCTGGGCGTCATTGCCTGAGGCTTCCTGACCACGTGTGGTCCCAGAGCTTGAGAGCTGCACCAGTTGCAAGGATGGAGGGCGGGCCGCTTTCAAGATGTGGCTCTCGCCCCAGCGCCGCGCAGATTCGTCTTAGAAGGTTGCAGCAGTTGCACGGAATGAGGAAGCCGTTTTCAAGATGTTGTTATCGCTTCAGCGCCACGCACATTCGTCTGAACAGTTTGCAGCAGTTTCACGGGTTGAGGGGGGCGTTTGCAAATTGTTGTTCTCGCTTTGGCGCTGCGGGCATTCCGTTCTTAACGTTTGCATTAGCTTCGCGGATAGAGGACGGTTCTTTATAGCGCCGCGAACATTCGGTTCAACGTCTTGCAACCGTCTCAAAGATTTAGCACTGGTCGTTTTCCAAACAGGGCTCTCGCCTCAGCGCCTCGCGCATTCATTTTTGATGCAACGCTCAGCAGGATGGAGGACAGCTCTTTCTCCAAACTGAGTTCTCGCTTGAATCCTCGTGAAGCTGAAGCCCGGAACTTCAGCACACGTAGCGCTGCAGGGATCCACGGCGGCTCTTTTGCAAAACGGACTTGTCGTTTGAGATTCCCTCGGCATCCATGGCCACGGGTGCAAGCGTGTGCAACAGATCCACGGAGGGGCGGGGGCGGCCCCTTTTCGAAAAGGGGATCTCGTTGGACACTTCGCTCAACTGTATGGTAGGTGATTTTCGCGTTCCGGGATAAGCGTCAGAAAGATGAACGGCAATTATTCTTCAAAGCGGTGCCCTCACCAACATGGCAAGTCCAAGTGTGCTGGTCTTTCAATGGGGGCGCGCCGTGTAGCGAAAAGGAAGATTTCTACGAGCGTATGAGGCGGGACTTGGAACGGGAGGGTGTGTTGCAGCATCGTTGATGCATCTTTGATTCTACAGGCTTACGCCGCATCCGCCGACCCTTTGCAGCGTTGCTAAAGCATCTTGGAGCCCTCTGGGTCCGTCATGAGGCCATTTCCCGGGCCTCTTGGGTCGTTTCGGCGTTTTCTTCAAGGCCTCGTGGGCCGACTTGGGGCCCTCTTGGGCTGTCTCGGTGCCCTTTTAGAGTCTGTTGGAGCAGCGGGGGGCCTCTTGGAAGCTTCTTGAGGCCTCCTCTCGAAGCTGAGGGCTCGAAATGACCATTCGGGTACCCCGTCTGGGTCCCCTCTTGGAGCCGTCAGGAGGGCCTGTTCGGCCGTCTTTGATGCCTCTTGGGCTGTTTTGGAGGCGTCATGGGCCGTTTCGGGGCCCTCTTGGAAGCCTCTTGGATGGTCTTGGGGCGATTTGGTCTCTTGGCCCGTCCGTCTTGGAGCGTTGGTAAACCGAACAGGCGAGAGCTCCAAAATCAGTGAAACCATTAACGGGCACTCAATGACTTTTGTCTCTTGGGAACCTCTGGGGAGGCTTCTTGGAGGGCTCTCGGAGCCTCAGAGCGTCTGGAGGGCATCCTGTACCGTCTGGGAAGCTGTCTTGGGCGTTCGGGCGAGGTTGGGGGGAGGCGGGGCGGAGGGAAAAGGGGGAGGAGGAGGCGGAAGTGCGGGGAGGAGGGGGATGGGCGCGGGCGAGGAGGAGAGAGGATGGCGTGGCAGGAGGACGCCGCTCCCGCACGGCCCCAGGTGAGGCCGTCGGAGGACAGGCTGCTGGAGTGGCACTTCGTGCTCCACGGGCTGCCGGCGGACACGCCCTACCACGAGGGCTGCTTCGGGTGCAGAAAAGGGGCAGGGAGGTCTCCTCCTCCTCCTCCTCCTCCTCCTCCTCCTCCTCTTCCTCCCTTCCTCCCTCTCCTCCGTCTCCTCCTCCTCATCCTCCTCATCCTCCTCATCCTCCTCCTTACTCCCCCTTGTGTCCTCCTCCTCCGCTTCCTCCTGCTTTCCCGTGTCCTGGTTCTCCTCCTCCTTCCCTTCCTGTCATCCTTCCCTTCGTCCCTCTCCCCCTCCCCCACCTTCTTCCCCTCCAGTCCTCCTCATCCTCCTCCTCTTCCTCCTCTTACTCTTCCTCCTCTTCCTCCTCCTCTCCTCCCTCCCCACTCGCCCTTCTCCTCCGCCTTCCCCGCTCCATCCTACTTCCCCGTGTCTTCCTCGTTCCCGTCTTCCTCTACCTCATGTACCCTTCCCCTCCGTCTCCCGCATCCTGTATTCCTCCTCCTCGTCATTCTCTCCCTCCTGTCCTCCTCCTTCTTCCCTTCCTGTCGTCCTCCTCGTTTCCTCCTCCTCCTCCTTCCCCGCTCCCTCCTCGTGGTACGTGTCCTCCTCCTTTCTCGTGCTATCCTCCCCCTTTTTGTCCTTCCTTTGCCCTTTATTCCCTACCCTCCCGTGGCTCGTGGTTGGGTTGTCGTATTGGATCGAGCAGTGTGGGCCCCACCTCCTTCTCCTCCCGCCTCCCTTCTCCCTCCGCCTCGCCTCCCCTTCATCCCCTCCCTCTCTGTCCTGTTTAGTCGTCCCCTCCCTCATCGAGACCTCGCGGGGCCTGCGGAGTTGCGAGCCGCGGAATTGTCGCAGCCTTCGTGGGCTCCTGGGAGCTCCAGCAGAGTGGTGGTCCACGCGGACCTGCCGACACCTCGCGGCTTTTTGCGGGGCTGC